GAAATTTCTCAGACTTCTATTACATATAGAGATTTCTTTTGTTCGGTGACCTATAGTGAAATTCGATGTAGAATATTTTCTTTATTAACAGTAACCTCCACAAATGAAGTTTTCCTGGAGATTTTGGCAAAATCCCGAAAAGTCCCAAAATAACCTACAATTTTCATATAATCAACTTTTTAATATAATTTTATTCGGACTTCTATTATAAAAGCAGATTTTTTTCTATTCGGTGACCTATAGTGAAATTTGATGTAGAATATTTTTCTCATTGGTATCTATTTCCTAGAAGCTAGTTTTATACGAGATTTTGGACTAAATCCAAAACGTTCATAATTAACCTCAACGAAATTAATTAATAATTACATATTCGTGGATTCTCAAATTTCTATAGAAAATTCGGAGACTTCTAGTACATATAGAGATATCTATTCTTCGGTGACCTATAGTGAATTTTGATGTCGAATATTTTCTTCATTAATAGTAACCTGCGAAAATAAAGTATTTTAGGAGATTTTCGCAAAATCCCATAAAGTCCCAAAATAACCTAAAATTTTCATATAACTAACTTTTTTATATAATTTTGTTCGGACTTCTATTATAGATACAGATTTCCTTTATACGGTGACCTATAGTGAAATTTGATGCAGAATATTTTTCTCATTGACACCAATCCCCTAGAAGCTGGTATTATAGGATATTTTGGCCTAAATCTCAAACATTCGGAATTAACCTCAAACAAATCAATGAATATTTGCATAATTTTTATTCTTACATTTCTATTGAAAATTCTCAGACTTCTATTTTATATAGAAAATTCTTTTGTAGGGAGACCCGTAGTAAAATTTGTCGCAGAATCTTTTTCTCATTGACATTTATCCCCTAGAAGGTTCTTTTGTAGGAGATTTTGGCCTAAATCTCAAACATTCGGAATTAACCTCAAAGAAATCAATTAATAATCAATTTTTTTTCATTATCTCATTTCTATTGAAAATTCTCTGACTTCTATTAAATATAGACATTTCTTTTGTAGGGAGACCCATATTGAAATTTTATGTAGAATACTTTTTTCATTGACATCAAAAAACTAAAATAAAGTTTTCATGGAGATATTAACAAATTTCCAAAAATATACAAACATAACCTAATTTTTTAATACAACCATTATACTATTGCATTTTTCCGAACTTCTGTTAAATATTCCGCTATACATTGTTCGGAGACCTATAGTAAAATTTTATGCAGAATATTTTCTTCATTATTATCAACCCTCTAGAATAACGTTTTCGGGGACAGACAAAATTCGAAAAGTATACCAACATAACCTCTAGTGTTTTTGAGTAGGCAAAAGGCTATTGATTTTCCGAACTTCTATTATATATATTTTTTAGATTGTTCAGAGACCTATAGTAAAATTTGATGTAGAAAAATTTCCACATTAACATCAAACCTCTAAAATAACGTTTTCAGGGTGAAATTGACAAAATTCTAAAAATATACCAACATAACCTCAAATGTTTTTGAGTAAGCAAAAGCTATTGATTTCTCCGAACTTTTATTAAATATTTTGTTTTAGGTTGTTCAGAGACGTATAGTAAAATTTGATGTAGAATATGTTTTTCATTAACACCAAACCTCTAAAATAACGTTTTCAGGGAGAAATGGGCATAATACTGATCCTATACAAACATAACCTATACTTTTTCAAACAACCAAATTGTTACTATATTTTCCGGAACTTCTATTAAATATTTTGATATAGTTTATACAAAGACCTATAGTAAAATTTGATGTAGAATATTTTTTTCATTAGCATCGAACCGCAAAATAATTTTTTAAAGGAGATATTGCCCAAATTCGAAATGTATACAAACAAAACCTTAACTATTTCTATATAACCAAGTTTTTATTGAGTTTTCCCGAACTTCTATTGAATATTTTGATATGGTTTGTTCGGAGACCCATACTAAAATTGAATATGGAAAAACTTTTCCTTTGACTCTAACCCGCTAAAATGAAGTTTTTCTGCTAAAATCCTCAACCTAACCTCATTTTTCCCAACATTTTACAAATCTCCCAATTAAACGAATAGCTCACCAATCTGCCGTATAAGGATGCTGTTTTTGGAAACAAAATAAACTAATTGCGGCATAAATGAAGCACGAACGCACGCACACAACACGGCAAAGAAGTAAAAACCTCTTTTTTTCTAAAACTCTGATGCATTGCAGTTAAAAAAAGTTTGCTACCATTTTTTGCTCCTCATCTCCTTTTTTTCTAAATAAGACTCAGGGTAATGGGTAATGAAACCCAAACATATGTATGTACACATACATATGTATTATAATGGCAATATGTGTGTTTTAAAAATTATTCCCTCAAGGAGAGACAAAATAAGACATTCTGTAAGAAGTACGTGAAGACATTTGATAATGGTGGTAGTGGTAATGAAAAAATTTCCCCTCAGGGACAATAGACAAAATATAAACATTTTAAGATGATAATAAGAAAAAAGGGTTTGTTTTAGGAAAGGAAATTAGTCGGGACGTGACTTTTCAAGGGAAATAATAATAATAATAAAAACTATATAAGTAAAATTCGTACTTAAAAAGGGTTTCAGTGGCAAATTACAGTTGTGTTTTTAAGAGACTTAAAGAAATAAAATTTGTATTAGGTTAATAAGGAATGTTTTAGATTTTTGCCAATATCTCCAGTAAAAATTCCTTCTAGCAGATTGATCTCAATGACGGAAATATTCTACATCAAATTTCACTAGAAGTTTCCTAATAAACTAAATTCGTATATATTATAGAAGTTCGAAAAAATGAAGAGAAAACAACGAAGAAAGAAAAAATAAAAAGTAAAGACTATTTTCTATAGTCTTTGCATTTTTTGCCCAAATCTCCAAGATATTGTTATTGTAGAGGCATGGTGTCAATGAAAAAATTATTCTACATCAAATTTCACTATAAGTCTCTTTATAAACCTTATTCATATATATAATAGAAGTTCGAAAAAATGAAAAGTAATTTTGGTACAAAAAAATGTTAGGTTATTTCCTATAATCTTTACGATTTTTAGCGAAATCTCAAAGAATTAATAGCAATAGCGGCTTGGGTTCAATGAAAGAAATATTCTACATCAAATTTAACTATAGATCGCCGAACAATAGAAATCCGTATATGTATTGGAAGGCTGAAAAATTTCACTATTAACTTGAATACATTAAAATATATAGGTTTTTTGAGGTTAAATAAAAGTGTTTTTAATTTTTGTCAATATCTCCCATAGAACGTCCATCTAGAGGGTAGATTTCAATGAAGGAAATATTCTACATTAAATTTCATTATAGGTCACCGAACAACAGAAATCCGTAGATATAATAGAAGACTGAGAAAATTCACTACAAAATTTAATACATATGCATAGATTTTTTGAGGTTAATCCCAATTGCATTTTTTTTTTGTCAATATTTTCCATAAAAAGTCCTTCTATGGGGTAGATCTCAATGAAAAAATTATTCTACATAAAATTTTAATATAAGTCACCTAAGAAAATAAATCTCTATATATGATAGAATTCTGAAAAAAATCATATAACAATTTTGATATATAAAAAAGTTAGGTTATTTTGAGGTTATTTTTCATTTTAGGCAAAATTTCCACAAATAATCTATTTTATGTGTATGGTGCCAATAAAAAAATATTCTACATCAAATTTCACTATAGGTCACCGAACAATAGAAAGCTGTATATTAAACGGAAATCTGCGAAATAGCCCTATTAAATTGAATATATAAATGTGTATATATTTCTTGAGGTTAATCCGAAAAGCGTTTTGATTTTTGTCAATATCTCCTATAGAACGTCCTTCTAGAAGGTAGATCTTAACGAAGAAAATATTCTACATCAAATTTCGCTATAGGTCACCTAACAATATAAATCTCTATATGTAATAGAAATCTGGAAAAAATAATATAACAATTTTGATATATAAAAAAATGTTAGGTTATTTTGTAGTCTTTTCGATTTTAGTCAAATTTTTCAAGAATAATATATTTTAGGTGGATGGTGCTAATGAAAAAAATATTCTACAGCAAATTTAACTATAGGTCACCGAACAAAATAAATCGCTATATATGATAGAATTCTGAAAAAAATCATATAACAATTTTTGAAAAAAAGTGATATAGTAATATAATTTATTTGAGGTCTATATACAAAAATGGCAACAAATCTCTATATATGATAGAATTCTGAAAAAAATCATATTACAATTTTTGTATATAAAAAGTTAGGTTATTTTGTAGATATTTCTATTTTTGGCAAAATCTCCAAGAAGAACTTAATTTAGGAGGATGGTGTCAATGAAAAAAATAATCTACGTTAAATTTCACTATAGGTCAGCGAACAATAGAAGCCCATATATATAATAGAAATCTGAGGAATTCGACTGCCAAATTAAATACATTAATGTCTATAGATTTTGGAGGTTAATTCCAAATTTATTTTTGGTTTTTGACAATATCTCCTATATAAAGTCCTTCTAGAGGGTACATCTCAATGAAGGAATTATTCTACATAAAATTTTACTATAAGCCACCTAACAAAATATATTTGTATATTGAATAGAAATAAAAAAAACATATATCAATTTTAGTATATGAAAAGTTAGATTATATTGTAGCCTAAGTGATTTTTGTCGAAATCTCCAAGATTAACTTATTTTATGGGGATGATGTCAATGGAAAAAATATTCTACATCAAATTTCACGATAGGTCACCGAACAATAGAAAGCTGTATATATAACAGAACTTCCTTAAAAAACTAATAATATATTATGGTATATAAAATTAGACTTCTTGAAATTTTAATAAATATTTAATAGGGTTAAAGCACTTATTAATATATGGGTTATTTATACATCACTATTTTATATATTATTTTTTAATCTATATGCTTAAATTCTACATAAATATATAATTTTTAATTTTGTTAATTTAAATTCCCCTTGCCGCATTCTTCCAGCCCAGTGGTCCATTATAACGTTTCAAAACAATGGGGAAATTTTCGCTAATAATATAATCATCCTTGAAAACAATGATCAGATTCACTTCAAATTCTAAAAGGAAGAATTACAAAATTATTAAGCAAAATAAAAAATTTCAAAAAACCTCCACTCCTTACCAATTTTAAAATTCTTTGTAATCAGTGTGGGACATGAAAACAAACGCGGCAGTACCATATAAATTGGTATCTCCAATTTCGGGCATATATTACCATCAACGATTTGTATAGTTTGAATTTCGGTTGCATCTTTGGCATAACCTTCCTTGCAACCACATGTCTCGACACGCAACAATTGCAACTCTATAGATTTTATGGCCGCTTCGGTGTGTTGAACAGTTAAACTTCCTCTCAACGGTTGGGTTATACAAAATTCGGTTTTTTCTAATTTCCCCGTAATCAGAAATCTTGGCATTGTTATACGTTCCTTACTATTCTTTTGTAGACTTTCGGGACTGATGCTAAAACACACCTCTTTGGGAGGGGGTATCGGCTCCTCTGCCGGTCTATATTGTATACAAAATTGTTGTGTCTTTTGTAGCGATTTGGCCAAGAAGCTACGCTTAACATCACATTTCAATTGATAGTTGATATTAATATACATCCCGTGATAGGTTTCATACAACACTTTAGGTTCTTTGGTACATTTTAGGGGGAATTCGAAATGAAATTCCGATATGCCAGCATTGAGTTTTCCCGCAGCAGATAAATCAATTGTGGAATTGAGTAGGGTAATTGGTTTAAGGGAATTTGAAAAGGCATCCAGCAGGCCAACTGATTTACTGTTACTCAGTTGGAGATTTACAATGCCTTCGAGGGATAAGATTATGCCATCATGTTTAGCCTCCGTGGGACAGGAGAATTGTACACAACCCACCAGGACATCCTGGAAATAATAAGAAACATATATCATTGGTAAATCCGATGGGTTTCTGGGGTACACTTACATTTTCATAGTATACTTTATTCTCCCGCTTTAGTTTGATTTCGAAATTAATAGAACTCGAAGTCATGATGCTGGTGTTGAATATCTATAAATCTGAAATTAAACAGAATTAATAAGAAAAAATGAGTATAGGTTATGTTTTGTCAAATTTAGCCGATTTCTCCCAGTAAACTTAATTTTAGCTTTTTGAAGTCAATGAAGATAATATTCTACACTAAATTTTGTTATAGGTCACCGAACAAAAGAAATTCATATATCTAATAGAAACCCCTAAAATATTATAACAATATTTGATATATGAATATATTCTACACTAAATTTCACTATAGGTCAGAAATCCGTATATTCAATAGAAGTTCGAACAAAATTTAAAACAATTTTAAAATATAAAAGCCTAAAAATAAGGCTTTGCAGCTTTTTGACAAAATTTCCAAGAAAAACTTATTTTATAGGGTTGGTGCCAATGAAGAAAATATTCTGCATTAAATTTTACTAGATGTCACTGAACAAAAGAAATTCCTATATCCAATAGAACTTCGGAAAAATGTAGAACAATTTTGATATATAAAAATGTTAGGTTATTCTGAAGCTTTACAGATTTTTGGCAAAATTTCCAAGAAAAACTTATTTTAGGAGGATGGTGCCAATAAAGAAAATATTCTGCATCAAATTTCATTAGGTCCACCGAATAATAAAAATCCGTATATTATTAGAACTTTGAAAAATGTATTTTTAATTGGATTGATATATTAAATTTTTAGGTTAATTGGAAATGATTTTTATTTTTGGCAAAATTTCCAAGAAAAACTTATTTTAGAGGGTTGACGCCAATTAAGGAAATATACTGCATAAAATTTAACTACAGTTCACGGAAAAATGAAAGCTGTATATATAACAGAAGCTCCATAAAAATTAATACGAATTTGGATATATGAATATTTTAGGTTATTTTGCAGCTTTTCGGCTTTTTAGAATATCTCTAAGAAAAACTTATTTTAGGGAGATGGCGTCAATGAAGAAAATATTCTACATCAAATTTCACTATGGGTCCTCGAACAATAGAAATCTGTATATATACTGGAAGTCTACGAAATTTCAGTTTCTAAATTGAATACATAATTATGAATAGATTTTTTAAAGTATATCCCAAAAGCTATTGATTTGTAGGGAAGTTTTATTGGAGACGTGGAAATCTCCAATAAAACTTCCTTGTGGAAGATATTGAGCCTTTAGAGGGGGGGCATGCTCCTGTTCTATTTATAGAAGACCTGTAAAACAGTATATTTATTAAAATATTTCATACGGTTAACGATAATCTATTAATACCTTCTCTTTGGTAGTCCTGCAGGTGATTTTCTACACATACAGAAGACCTAGAAACGGTCCCTTAATCATGGATCCTCTAAAAACCTTTTCCTCTAACTTTCTGTTGCTGACATTTTATTCATGGGAGATTTTGTTAAGCATCCTTGATTTATTGGTCCAGTGTTTAACTTCACACTTCCTGCAAATCTATTTATACCTTATAATTCCAAAAATGTCTTCCTTTGGGGATATTTCTGTCCTTGCTTTTCCAAAAACACCACTCCTCTAAACAAATATTCTACAAAAACAACAACAATTACCGCAAAACAGCTGTTTTCTCAAAGTAATGCTTTTAATTTAACGTAAACATTTGGCAGTTTGAAATGCATTGGAAATTGATGTGCTATTAATAATAAATAAACAAATACTAGGAACACACACATATATATATATAACTGAGTTTGTTCAAAATAATATTATAATATTTATTATTTATTTTCTTGGCAATAACTTTTCTGTTTTTACGTTTTTTTTTTCTCTCTCTCTCCCGCCGTTTCACAACACTCACAAATGTTTAACCTCCATCAGCTGTCTGTTCAAGGTGATGCTTAACATACAGCGTGTGCCATATATGGCAATCTATGACAATAGTTTGAAATGCATTGAAAAACATATGATTCCACTTTATTTATAAGCAAAAACAACAACAAAAACGGCTAAAAAGTACATAACATTTCACCATCTACTAAAAAATTAAACAATTCTTAAAAAATATTAAATAAAATCATAAAAAACCATGTTAAAACTTTATAAAAATGCCTTAAGGCAGCCAGCACAACGTTGTCTCTCACTGACAGCTTGCCGTCACAACGAGGAAACAACCAATAATCGTGAATCGGCCACACTGAAAAGAATACGCGAGGAATTGGCCAAGGAAAAAGCCGCACTCAAATGGCGTAAGACCAATGAGGAAATGGGAGATGTTACAACAAAATTGAAATATTTTGCCAACAATGATCAAACTAGTGATTTTATTCTACTCATGCAAAAACCCCTGGAGCTAAGTCCCAAAAAATGGATGGCCATGTGGGAGAAGAAAAAAGAAAAAGATGAACGACATATGCAGAAATTCATACCCGAACGACATGAAATTTTGGGACCTGATCTAGCCACAGCCCATTTCATTTTGCATCGTGGTGGTTTGGTGAAATTTGTCAATGCCCAGCATTGGACCAAAGCCGATGAGGATAAGAACTTCAAGTTACCCAATAAATATGATGTGAATTTCAAATTGGAGGCTATACGTTGTGATAATATGCGTCTCTACTATGAGGGTTTGGAGAATATACGCTGGCTACAACATCTTAAATTTGCCTCATTTCATAATGTCCTGAGTTTTGATGATTGGTGTTTAGATCGTTTTTCGGGTTCCCAATGTGCCAATTTGGAAGTATTGGATATTTCGGGCACCCAATGTACGGCTAGGGGGCTTTCTTGTTTGTATAGATTGCGGAATTTGAAATTGTTAATTGTCAATGATCCCCAAGAGTCGTTGGAATATGAATTGACCTGCTCAATGTTGGAGGAAACATTGCCCAAATTGAAAATCGTCAATGCAGCTTCGGTACATAATTTACAGTAAAAAACATAGATATTTATTTACAATAAATTATTAACAAAATTTATAATTAAAAGTTAAAAAAAGTTGTTGGTTATTTTGGTCGGGTTTTCATATATTCCGCCTTGATGGCTTCACGTTCCTCCACGGGTGGCAAATAGGGGTAAATACCTTTGGAACGACGATCTGAACGTATTTTGTGCTAAAAAAAAGAAATAGAAAGGGATTTTAAATAAAATTACAGAAAAAAACGTAAGACCAGGAAAACTGATTCGGAAAATACCCGCAAATTTTATTAAATTTTCTTCAAAGGCTACACTAAAAATGCTCGGAAATTTAAAAAAAGTCTCCTATGGACCACTAGAAAAAAAATTTCATTTAGTTCCACATAGACGGGTATCGGTCAGGATTTTAAAACTGAACATATTTTTTCTGCTATGGACAATTGGTGACTTAAACTTTTTTCTTAATAGACGAATATGTAATTGAATGGGGGTTCCTTCAATAAATTATGTGATTGCAATCAGGATAAAATTATGTAAAAAACTACTCAATATTTTTAAAAGAAGCCTAGAATTTTAAAAACGCCCAATAGGCCGGTGTCGAGTTTTGAGCATAATGGCCCATTTCATTATTTATATTTATAAAAAAACTCTCGGGAGCTTCATTACAGGTTACCTCATATTACTTTACGTGATCATTTCCTATATCCCTTTCCATTGAAAGACATTTTTAACTATCACAGGGGACCTGTAGACCTTAAGGTCCTATGTAACTTTAGGGACCTGTGAACCTTAAGGCCCTAACAACTCTGGCAATCTGTTCATATATTGAATATCAGTATGTCATCCTTTTTATTCCTTACCCAAAAATCCTTGCAATTTTTATAATTTGCAAAATACACCTCACAGGCTTCGCGATCGAAATTATTCTTGTTCAGACACTTGTACGAGAGCTCTTGTTCCTGTGAAAAATATTCATCGGATTATTGTGATTTTACATTTTATATATAACAGACTTACCCTCAAGCAGGGATTATCCTTTTCGGCATCGGGATTGCGTGGCATTTTTCTACTTTAAATCCTTTATTTTTTATATATTTTTAATTATATAAAAACTGTCGTTCTTCTCTCCGTTGGCTGCCGACGACATAAACAAATGATCTCCAATAAGAAAAATAATCCCAACAGCTGTTTTGCCGTTATCTTGCAGTATAACGTACTGTGTGTATGGCAATTGTCAAAAAATAGTTTGAAAGACAATGTGAGAGTGCTATTAGAGTGGGTAATTTGTTAGGCTGTAAAAAAATGTTTTGTTTTTTAATGAGAAGAGAGGGTTTGTAAAAGGGAGATAAATGTTGAACGAGAAACAAATATCCTCTTTTAATTCCCTTTCTATTTCCAATAACAATACATTAACCGTTTATTTACAATGTCAAATATAGGTTTAATTGACTATTAAAATAGTTTGAGAGGCATTGAAGTTGAAGCCGTAATCAATGGCATGATGCATTTGTGTGTGCATGAAATGACATGAATGAGAATCAATTTACTGTTTTTAATTCATTTTTGCCGCCTAAATGTCATTTACATTTCGACGTTAAATTAATGTTTCAAACTGTAATTGACGACGTAGTTTGAAATGCTTTGAGCCAATTTAATTAAGCAACATTAATTAAATTTAAAATTAAATTAAATTTTGGTGATAAAAGGAAAGCGAAATGTGAAGAATTTTTTTTACTTGCACTTTCCAATAAAAAACAATTGTTTTTAATAAAATTATTGTTGTGTCTGGTAATAATTTAAATAATTTTGTTTTTGTGTGTGGTGTTGCCAGATGGTATTATCATGCGTTAACTGTCCTAATTGCCCAAAATGGTTTGAAATGCATTGAAAAAATGCACACTGTATAACTATCGATAGAAATAAAAAAATTACTTATTTTTTATTTATTAAATTATATGACTATATATTCATATATATGGAAATATGAGAAACCCCCAAGCGCGGAAAAATTATAGACCCCAGTTTTAAGTTCATTTTTGTACCTTTAAACCACTTAAAAACCAAATTTGTTTGTGATAAGTTTTTATCCAAAACTATATATATTATATTTTTGTTTGTATATATTTTTTACAGATTTTTTTGTTTATTTCTTTTGATGTTTCTTTTTTTGTTTACCTTTTTTTAATGGTTTCTTATGACTTACAGTTTAAATGGTTTTGTTTTTGTAAATATGTAAGTAGTAGAGTAGTGTGTGAACAGTGTTTTGAAATCTTATGAAAAAAAACAATAAAGAAAAAAGTATTTCAAAAAAAAAAAAAAAAAAATTCTAAATAAAAAAATTAAGAATCAAAAAAACAGAACATATTTTTTCATTTATAAAAGAAGGAGACTTAAAAATAGTTTTTTTAGTTTTGAATTAAACTACAAAATTATTTTAAGAAAATTAAAAGTAAATATTTTTTTCTGTAATGAAATGGGTTGGGGAGGGCAGGATATTTTTTACCAATTTTAAACAAGTAGAAAAACAAATTTGGAAATTAAAAAAAAACAAATATTGGATCCTTGCTTCTAAAATTTCAAACTAAAACCCGGACCCATGGCCAATTGCCGTTGATCTATCCCCGCATTTAGCACAAAACCTGTATTGGCAGAGGATTTTTTATTGCCGGTTATAATACCGGAAATAATTTTGCCGCCACTGCCAGCACCGGCCACATCATCCCGACCCAGTTGTTTAAATTGGCTGCCGCCACTGGGTGGCTTAGGTGACGAGGCCAAGGCCTTGCGTGCACCCAATTCACTTTTGGCCGGCCAGGTGGGAAACATGGATGGATCAATGGGTACAGGTAATTCCTTGAAATATTGATGTTTGAGGGCCGCATCCGCTGTTAGTCGTTGTTTGGGATTATAGGTGAGTAGGCCCTGTAGCAGATCGATGCCGGTTTCGCTGGTTTTATCGGCAAAATGTTTGCGTAAACTTGACACTGGGTAATCGGCAAATTGGGAATTTTGGCTAAGCATGCTCTTCACCAGCGGCAGGTCATTGTAGCCGGGCCAGATTTTTTCGTTGGGGGTACCAAGTTCCTGTAACAAAAAAATTGTATTATTAATCAAATCTTAACAAAAATGTGTCATCTCCTTCTCCTCCTTACCTTAAATATTTTATTTAGCTCATCCACCTCCGTCTTCCCGGGAAATATGGGAGCCATTTGTAAAAATTCAGCAAAGATACAACCCACCGACCAAATATCAATGGGTGTGGAATATTCCGGAGAACATAAAAGCAATTCTGGTGCACGATACCAAAGAGTGACAACAAGGGAGGTATATTTCTTTAGCGGCGAACCATATTCACGGGCCAAACCAAAATCTCCCACCTTTAGGATACCCTTGTGTGATAGCAGTAGATTTGAAGTCTTTAAGTCACGATGCAAAATCCAATTATCATGTAAATGAGCCACAGCCCTTAACAGCTGTTGGGTGAGGCATTTAACTTCGCCGGGGAAAAAGGATTGTTTTTTCGCCTTCATCGTTTCCATTAGCGATTTCAGATCATGTTCAACATAATCCATGACAATAAAAATCTTATCCATATTCGAACCCACTACGATCTCCCGTACCGTCACAATATTCGGATGCTGACCCTTGAGCAGGGTGTTAATTTCCCGCAGCGAGGTAATGGGAAAACCTTCCTTTTCTTTCTCCATTTTCAAACGCTTTAGGGCCACAATTTCATTGGTCCGCTTGTCTTTTGCGCGATACACCACACCATAGGTACCCTCTTCTATGCGGTTGAGGCATTGGAATTCTTCGACAGATCTGCAACCTTGTATGCCAGGATAATAATTCGGCAAGGGATTGCCTTTGTCATCGAGCAGTGGTGCCTCCGAATCGGACTCATCCTGCTGCTTTCTAGCATTACCTCCCTGTTCATTGTCTTTGTTTTCCTTTTCCTCCCGCTTGGAGTTGGCCTTCATATCGCGCTCCTCAGAACGTGACCGGGATCGGGAACGTGATCTTGAACGTACTGCTGACCGGCTGCGGTCAGATCTACTGCCACCCGAGCTGTGCGAATGTGAAGATCTGGAACGTGAACGCGACCGAGGAGATCTTGAACGTGATCGCGAACGACTGTGGCGGGCGGATGAGTTAGAGCTCGAATGGGATCGTGATCTGGAACTACGTGAAATATAGGATTTTGAACGTGATCGGCTGCGTGATCTGGAGCGAGACTCGGCTGGGGTATGGGAACGTGAGCGGGAGCTGGTACTCAAGCTGGGCGAGAGGGATATTGTTTCCGTGGGCCTCAATTTGTTTTTATCACCCCCACCCTTGGTGTCCACCACCTTTGTGCTTTTCTTTTTCTTATCACGCCGAGATCTTGAGGCCTCCGGTGATTTGGATAGCTCCCCCATGGACAAGGGGCTATCGGAGATTTCACCCTCACTAATGTAGTCGGATTTTTTCTTTTTTGTTTTGGATTTTTTGTAATCACTGCGATCGGTTTCATCATCCGATTCGTCAGATTTTTCGGTACGTTCGTTGCCGCTCTCCTGGGAATCTTCGGAATCTGATGAATCCGATTCCGAATCCTCCTCATCATCATCCTCGTCATCTGCCTTCTGTTCTTTGGATTTCTTGAGACGTTTGCGTTTCGACTTCTCCTCCTTGTCATTGTGTTTGCGTTTGACAACATGTAGACTGGCGGTCACACTGGCCGCCACAGCGGTGGGACTCAAAGCATCCACAATGGATCCACGTTCTCGCAACATTTCACGACGGGCCTCCAATTCCTTGCGTGCAATATCACGGCGTTTGTCCTTCTCCTGTTCGGCAGCCAATATCTTGGCCCGTCTGGCCACCAGTTCGGGGTCCTCGGGACTCTTCTCCTTCACAGTTTCAGGTTTCTTACCCGTCAGATCTTTATCTTTTTTACCCTCTTTCCTGGCCGACACCTCCTCCACGAGCATCTCATCATTCTCGCCATCCTCGTCATCATCCTGCTCATTCAGATAACGCTGCTTGGCATGTTTATCTTTGTGGCGTTTGTGTTTCTTGCGTCGCCTCTGACGTTCCCCATCGGAGTTGTCATCGAGCAGGACAACATCATTGTTGTCACGATCTTTACGTCTGCGTTCTTTGTGACGCTCCGATTTACTTTCCCTCTCATCGTACAGCCTTTCGTTGCGTTCGTACACCAGACCGCCACCCTCATCAACATCCATGACGACATCATCCTTGACATATTTATGACGTTTGCTTAGCAATCGCGAACGCAAATCCTGTTCCAGGCTTTCTGGATCCTTGGCCACCACCGCCTGGTCATAGTATTTACGTTGATCGTAATGTTTACTGTGGCTGCGGACATTTTCATAGGCCTGTTGATGTCTTTGTTGCTGCTGTTGGTGGTGGTGGTGATGATAATCGGTGGGTGGTTGGTGGTGACGATGTTGCTGATGATAGTCCTGACGTCGATGATCATAGTAATCCTGATGACTTCTGGGTGGCTGGTGCATGTGATACTGATGATATTGGTGCTCTGGATGGCCACCATGGTGATAACTACCGCCCATATCTTGGTGATACATGGCAGCCGCCGCACCGCCCCGGGATCTGGAATTATTTTCTCCCATTGGTCCGCCGCCCATATGGTCATAGTGTTTGTGATAACGCTGTTTGTCACTCGCCCGAAACATCTCTTCGTCTCTCTCAAAACCCCCTCTCTTCATTTCCTTACGATCCGCATCACTACGCCGTTCGGGCCGCTCATCTCGTTCTCGGTAATCCTTTTCACGTAACGACCCCTCCGAGTAGCGATCTGGCCTATCCTTGTGTCTACGCTCTTTGGAATGTTTCTTGTCTTTGGATCTTTCTTTGCGTCGCGAACCGCTTGAGTCGCGGGCCACCTGAGCCTGTGGTGGTTTTATGTCCAATGAATCGGTGTCATGTTCCTCATCGTCACCACTACAAAAAAAGTGAAATAAAAAGAAAAAATAGGGAACATATTTTTTTGCTTGTCTTTTGGCCATATAGAAATAGATGATCATGGAAGGATGATTGATAAAGATACACAAATACAAATACTAAAATTAGAAATTATTATTATTGTTAAAAAAATGTTTTGAATATTAGAAAAAACAAATGACCACACTTTTGCCTTGAAGGTGTTTGTTGAATGCGCATCCGGGTTTTTTCTCTCCATATTTGAATTCAATGGCTTTATTGGTTAAATCCTTACTCCAATCAATATTGGCAACAACACTACAGCCACTCATCATTCCAGCTCTTTCTGCTTTATAATGTCATTCCAAAACCCGAAATAACCAAGGTTCATTGTTGTTGGTCCATCGATTTTCTTTTTATTTTGTTATTGAAATCGAAAGAAATTGGAAATATAGTTTTTCAGTTTTTTGTTTTGTTTACGTGTCTCTCTTTTACGTCTATTATTTACCCATTTTACTAAATTACTTTTTTTACCTCACTTTACGGCTTCATGCTTTGCTTGGAATTGTATTAAATCTGCATAGAAAAAAATAAAAGCAACAACAACAAAAATGGAAACAAATTAATCAGTGATTTGATGAAGAGTGTAGAATTAAGTTATATTTATTTATTTTTTATTATTAGAAGTAAATAAATTTTTAGGAAGATCCAAAGATCCAAATTTTCTAAAGTCTACAGCTTTGGTGTAAACTGAAAACGACACAAATATCATTTAATGTAAACCATGGCCCTGCTAAGTCAGTGAAGGAATATGTGGCCTTAAAAAGCTTTCTTTGTATTGAAAGCAAATAAATTGAAATATAATTGTTATACCCTCCACCATAAGAGTGAGGTATATTAAATTTGTCATTCCGTTTGCAACCCCTCGAAATATTCACCGGATAATCCATAAAGTATATATATACTTGATCAGAATAAAAGTTTGTGTCGATTTACGCATGTCTGTGGGTCTGTTAAAATCCAAATAGAGATCGCAATATTTAAGATGGGGCTCTCTGAAATTTTGCACAGACATTGTTAGTACACCTAGGATGTTTGGTATTGCAAATGGGATATATATCGTTCATGTTTCAGGCCCCTTATGACGGAGGTTCCGTTATAAGGGGCCTGAATCATTGTATAAAACACCTCCACACCAAAAAATATTTCCATTGGCCCACGTTTCAGGGTAGCCCCTATATAAAGATACCCCTCAATATTCGATTTTTTGATGATTTTGGGGAAGTTTTTCAAACAATTTGGCTGCAATATGGTATTTTTAATTCTCATTTGAAGTCAAATCTCACTACCAACAATTATTAGTATTCACTCAAGTTTCAGGGCAGCCTACATACTATGGCATCCCCCACTATTCGGTATTTTGGAGATTTTGGATGCTTTTTCCAAAAAAATTGCCAGGAAATTTGGTATTTTGTATTATTAGGTGTCAAATCTCACTACCGAAAATTATCAATATCGATCCCCGTTTTGGTATAGCCCCACATAATGGTAGGCCCTCAATTAGGTATTTTAAGAATTTACAACATCTTTTGTTGTTTCCTAGAAGTCCCCAATAACATGAGATATTTTGATGGTCAACCTCATGGTGGAGGTTATAAAAAGTTTGGCCTTATTGTTATGTTTATCTTTTTGGGGGAGTGTAATAACAGAGGGATCGACCGGCAATCTCGATATATGCGAAATGTTTGGACCATACTGAGTACTTCACTTAGATCGATTCTAAAATAAATTCGTTTCAGAACATCGTTCATAGATCTAAGTATGTGTGCGAAAAATTCATGCCGTTATTTCGATCTATCATGTTATTGACCCGAAGACTATGTCTTATGGAGACAGATATAAAACTGTTTCAAATTGTTGGAATATACGTTTTTGGCCGACTGAAACTCGAGGGGTTTTGGATCGTGGAAACAAAGAGAAACAATATTTAATTATAAACATTACATATTTAATAACAATTTTCAAAGTACCTAGATATATATCCTGCAGTCATACCTTTTTCAAAATGATATTTGGATCGAAGACTTCATTTTCGAAGTTTAAGGTCTGATATGATGTCTTGGCACAGAAGACATGATATCAAGACGTCATTCCAGATTGTCGATCGCGAACGCGATGAAATTAGTGCATCAACTAGATCCCCAGAGAGGGATCTAGGTTCGAAAAGTACATCTCGTATTTATATTCCCAATGAGATGCATTTTTCGCCAAGGACTAACCCTATTGACATTGGTGAAAATCGTTTCAGATTTAGATATAGCTCTCATACACCACAATGTCAAATTAAGACCCATACAACGTGCTCAATAGAAAATAGTATAATATAAAAAAATATAGATGATAATCGCGACAGTTTGTGGCCCATGACAAATAATTATCGAAACATAAGATAATACAGAATCAGCTTTACAGGATTCAGGTATACAATTGCGTCAGGAGAGAGCTCTTCAGCTTGAGATGATGTCTGTGTGTATAAAAAAAGAATACATGTTATTCGTCATTTATGGCATGGTCCAAATGACCTGTATTCTGGAATCTGGAGACCGATTGAAAGTCAGATAATGATGACTTTCAAAATAGGGATTGCTAATTTTTGATATATATGTTGCCGATGATGTGTTTCTTGTTTTTTCTAACAATAGTGCAAATTCAATCGCAGAAGGCGTGGATTTTTTTTTCATAAATTGTTCCTAATGTAGATTAAAATAATAGGCAGATTATTGGATTTGTTAAAATAATACGCAGATTATTGGATTATTATTTATTAATAAAGCCTTTCTTTGCAAAAATTATTTTAGTATTGTTTCTGTCTTTCTCTTATGGCCTTGTTTATGTTTGTTTAGTTGCGTAAAAGCGAGCCAACTGATGGACCACGAATTAGAAAGATCAAGTGGAAGAAAACATTTCGAAACATGGTCTTTCAAATTGAAAGAGCTGAGCACAAGACGGACGCGCCTGGAAATCTTCTTTATGCTCGGCTTTTGGAACAAATGTTCTGTCACAAGCCAGCTAAGTAAGTGCATATCCTATCACATTCGAAGGTGACATTAATTCTTGTCTTCGTCGTTTTAGGCAATGGTCCTTGGAGAATTCCTTGATCTTTAAACCTTCCAAGACGAAATATTAAATATTTATCTGGATGGTAACATGATTAGCTTCGTAAATAGACTTTTTTCGAAACCCATGTCGACAATGTTTAGCGAAGGATATTTGCTATAGGCTATATTCCACAAAATGTATTTCTCCCATATTGGGTTCGAAAACGGGTGGCCAATGCTCTTCGGATGTCTCAAATTATTTATGGGTTGGATATTGTGTCTGGTACGATAGCATTTTTTGTTAGGTAATTCTCTTGTTCGATTTGAACATTTTTGAAAATTTTGACTATTTGTGGGGGAGGTACCAGAAGGAGTGGACCAATGGGTCCCACTACTGGATGTAGGCTTCGCGAAGATAATCGGTTGTACAAAGTTTCGTTGAGATCGGATAGTCCGTTTGCCTGTTATTATAAAATTAATTTTTAGCACAATTTTGACCTTTTTGTGGGGGAGGTACCAGAAGGAGTGTACCGATATTCCCAATCTTCGAACTTAAACTAAGTTTGGAAGAAATATTAAGATGTGCAAAGTTTAATTGAAATCGGTTGCAGCCTTCGAGAGTTATCATGCGCACCAGCCAGACAGACGGACATGTGGTAATCCACTTCAAATTTTCTGAAACGGATTTGATCAATAGAAACATGGGGTCTACAGCCAATATTTCGATGAGGCAAATTTTCGCCGTATCAAAATGTGTAAAAATTTCGTCATGTGATGTTTAATGTTGGATGTTATTAAAAATAGGTAGATCGTATTCATAACTAAGCCAAGAAGTTTATAAATTGACGAGCTAAAGGACTATAAGAATATGACATTGATGCTTCTCGGGTCTATGGGGTGGCTTCTATATAAATCAGACCTTTTTGGAGAAGATTTCTCTCCTGGGCAGAGGCGATCTAAATTTTTGAGAATAATTAATTTAGCATGTCTTCTACAGAAATTATAAATTTGGGAGGGTTTCTTATATACTTTGGAACCGTCTATAGGTTTTCTACAGACATTTTAAGGTAATCTTGACCCGATTCTTGGTATGAATTTGGAAATATATATGATGTCTCTTCAGCATTTATTTTCGTCGTCAGTTTGTTTCTTATTTAACATCAATTCCAAATGTTCAAAATTTAAACAGTCTAAGGCTTAGAAGTAAGGCTCTTGTTTTTGGATCTCCTGTTCTAAGCCCATATATATATAGTAATAGGACAGACTCGTGTTGAAATATTGGATAGACATAAATGCCTAGGATTGGTACTAGATAATAAAGTTAAAATTTATTTCATTTTGCGTATGTTGTATTCAACTAGCATTTTTTACCTACTTGGGTTAATATGATAATAATACATGATAATAATAGCTCATGCAATTTTGAAGCCACGGATCACCAATGGTCTCGAAGTTTTAACCGGGACTTCTGAATACAACTTTTTAAAATTGGAACGTATTGTTAATATTGTAAGATTCGTCTTTGATGTTCGTATACGTGAACATATTTATGTTTTTGTAACCAAGTTCCTTGGATGTTATTTTCGGGAGTTTGTTGATATACGTAATACGTTAGACTTTTTTAAAACTGTTAAAAGCGAATACCCAAAGCTCTTGCTTAATCTTTTTACTTTTTCTCGTTCTACTTGGAATACTCAAATTAATATACCACATATACGTATCTCTTGTTTTGAAGAATCTTTTGTGGTTCGAGTAGCCAGGGTCTGGAAGTATTTGCCGGTTGATTTACGCATATTTTCTCACTCAAATAATGCTTTTCGCTTAGAGGTTAGTATGTACTTATCAAATCACAACGACTAAATTCACGTTTCTCTTCTGTTGTTCTACAGTGCAAGTATAACATTTTTATACCTATTCCATTTTTATTTGCTATCCGAAAAAAAAATCGTTTAATAATAATACAATTTACATATTTACCTTGAATGGCGCGCATTAGCAAGTTAAATAATACAAAACACACATCGATGTCCTTTAAAAGAAAAATGAATAGAATCAACGTTAATAATGATAATACAAACTAAACCGATTACTTTAACTGTACACTACTCACCTTGACCCAAATTGTTATACGAGTAGAAATAAAAAACAACAAAACACCCACATCACATGGCGATGGTTATGATGATGACGATGCGGCAGTAGTTAATACAATTCCAAAGCAAAACAGTAGTTGTTGTAGAAGTAAGAAAAGTAAATCAGCAATGGGTCCGCAGCAGCAGCATTAGGCAGGACTTTAGAAGACGAGACTTGAAAGAAATTCTTTGGATATTTTCTTTGTTTTTGATTGTTAAAGAAATAGTTGTAATGGAAAAAAAATAAAATAAATAGAAGATATATCTTTTGAGAAGAGAGACAATTAAAAAAAAGCAAAAAATTATAATTTAAGAGATTTTTGTGATTTTTTTTTTAAATTACCAACAAATCGAAAGTTTTTGGGTTTTTGTTTTTTTGGTTGAAAACTTGGATGTTTCTTTGGTCTGAAGTATTGTTGTGGGTAGACGTAGGCGAAGAGATATAAATAAAGTTTAGACGACCTAGCTGGATAACTTTCTGGTGGTCTCACCATTCTGCAATTACCATTTTGTTTACGCTGGCAGATTCTCTTACCCCAAAATGTTTGTTGTAGAGGAGGATATTGTTGTTTAATGGATAACTGTATACGTGGAGGATCGTGGTGGTGTACAGACTTCCATTTGTGATTATTTTTTTCTCTGGAATATTTTCTTTCCTTTTGTTGTGTTTTCAATTTTTTGTTGGGGGATTTAATTTTCCCGTGGATTTTTTATGCTGCAACAAAACACTCCCATTGGGGGGCTTTAGCCATATTTCAGCTTGACTTATTTTTTATCCACCATTATTTCTGATTTTCCTTGCCATTGAAGTAAATTAGCCATTTAGTGCTGGAGCTTTTTTGTTGTCGGTTTATTTTTTTCGTTTTTTCGGTTGTTGTTGTTGAGCTGCCGGTTTTTTGTGATTTTTTTTCTTTTGGTTTTTTTTATTTTGATAAAAAATTGATAGTTTAGGAAATGTTTTTTGTTTAAATATGTTACGTGGCCATCGCGCGCATCGGTCATTGGACATGTACACACTTTTTGGCCTATTTACAATGAAAAAATTCAAGTAAATTAAAAATGTTTACATGTGACATATTTTTGTTTTAATAAAAAATGGTTTTTTTGTTTTTTTAATAACAAATGGTATGGTATTGATTTTTGGATTCTGTTTATTTTTTTTTTTATTCAAAACAAAATTTTAATTCAATAATAATAATAATAATAATTTCTTTTATTTTTAATACAAAATCATAAATTATTGTAACTAAATGAAGATAGAGAAACAAAAAAAAAAATGGGATGATGTGAAGAAAGTTTGAATTTTTAATTTGAAAAAAAATTAAGAGGAAGAGTAGGGGGAAATGGGTGGGTGTCTTCATCAAGTAAATCAAATTTTCAAAATTCAAACTGGGTCTTTTTTGTGGACCAAAGCCTCCACCTACCTTGAAGTTAATCTCAAGAAAGGTGCATGATTTTGGACTACAAGAGACTTCGCGTCCAGAAAAAAATCCGGCAGAATTTCTTGAAATTTTTTACTTGATAGCCTTGCTTTATTATAGGATAGGGGAATATTTGTTTAATAAAATAGAATATATTGAATTATGTTTTTTGGAATATGATTTAATTTTTTTGTTTATTTACAGTTAGCTGATAATGTTGTTGTATTTTTTTTTTAATTTTCATGAAGCTTTTTTAAAGTCAATCATTCAGAAATAAATGCGTGCTTAAAAAATGTTTTGATTTTTTTTAATAAAACTATTTCTTTTTTGTAAATAATATAGCTTAAGAAACCTGGGAATGGACCCAAGTCGTATAAGTTCTTCGTATTCCAGCTATAAGGCATAACAAATAGCTGGTGGATCTAAACTGGTCAAAACTGGCAAATAAAAAATGGCTCTCGTGGGAGGTACTGTTATATGGGACCTATCGCTAAAAGAGGACCGATATCGAAAATTTTTGGTAAGAAACTTTGATACCCAATTACAATTCAAAATACTAAATTATAGGCAATTTGGTTTGTCAAATGTACTCAATCTCCCTAAAATACCGAAATCTGGGAGGCATCGTTATATGGGAGCTATCCTGAAAAGTTGACCAAAATCGATCATTTTTGGTAAGAAGATTTGCTACCCAATTGGGATTCAATATTAAAAATATAGGACAAATTGGTAGAAAAACATAGCCAAACTCCCCAAAATATCGAATTTTGGGAGGTATTGCTATATGGGAACAATCCTTTAAAGTGGGTCAATGTTGCAAATTTTTGGTAGGAAGCTTTACTGCCCTGAGTATTCAAAACACTAAATTATAGGCAATTTGGTTGAAAAACGTTCACAAACTTCCCAAAATATCGAAAATTGGTAAATATCGGTACATGGGACCTATCCTTAAAAGTGGACCAATATGGACAATTTTTGGTAGGAAGATTTGCTACCCAGTGGGGATTCAAAATACTAAATTATAGCCAATTTGATTGAAAAATGTACCCAAACTCCTAAAAATTCCGAAATTTGGGAGGTATCGTTCGATTTTCTGCTCAAAGAGAATCTCTAATATCAAATTAGAATCAATTCTGTTAAAAAAAATTACACAAAATCCTCTAAATAACGAATATGAGGGGGTATCGTTATATGGGGTCTACCCCGAAACATAGGCCAATATTTATAATTTTAGGTAGGACAATTTTCCAGCCAGTGGGAACCAAATGTACGAAATTACAGCTGATTAGGTTGCCAATCGTGTTCAAAATCTTCTAAAACCGAATACAAGTTGGTACCGTTATATGGGATTACCCCGAAACATAGACCAATTATAATTTTTGGGTTTTTTATTATTGTATTTAAACCTTGATGGTCATAAAAAAAATGAAGGTCTCTAATTAGCTTTTCATATCATCCATTACTAGATATCAATGATTTCGTTTTCTAATATTTAATTTGTTTTCATTTGTAATAAAAACCAAAATATGTCGTCATCCATATTCGACAAAGAAAATCAGCATTGTGAAAATCGAAAAATTTCTTTTAGAAAAAAATTGGATGAAATTAGAATTGATTAGCCTTTTTTGAAATGAATTTTGAGACCTCTGTTACAATTGATACAATTATCGTAGAGGAAGGCCTGCAAAAATGTCTGCATTTTACAATGGGAATTTTTTGCACAGGAAGTCTGGCTGCTCTGTATAACAGAAAAATACGTCAAGCCAGTGACAAATTTCCAAAGAAATTTCATGATTCAAAATTCTTTTGTTTACCAAAAGAAATTAAAAAAATCCCATTATTAATGCCTTGTAAACAACAATAACAATGACATCAAGTTGTTGCATTCCTATTGCAAATTCACATCTGATTTTTTTTTTGCGTGTTGTGTATCTATATTTTGAGAAAGCAGCAACAATGCCTAACAACCAAACACACTCCACTCCTTGACAAAACATATTGCGGGATTACAAAGTGTGTGTGTGTGTTTTATGCGTCTCATTCATTCTTATGCCAATCATAAAAACGTTGTGACCCAGTGGCGATCTGGGTGCAAAGGCCTTAAACAATTGAGGCCCAATTGTGTACAATGAAAACCCCAGCTGACAAAAGATTGCATTTTCTTTGAGGTTTTTTCTTCATGACTCTCAAACTATAAAAAACCAATAATCAGTTTAAGATGAAATTTTAGATATATGATAATATTACTTACATAGGCAGACTGTTTTTCTGATATAAAATACACTTTTGGAAAGTATCCTATCATTAAAAAAAAGAGTGTTTTCAAAAGTCTTCTCACTAGTTCCAGTATGCAATTGATTTTGAACATACATATTTTCGATATGCCTATATGGATGAAATTAAGTGATTCTGAATATCCTACAAAATCGGTGACTATTTTTGTGTTAGATTTTTTTTAAATCTGGGAATGCCACAACATGCTTTTCAAGGACTTGCTTGCTTAACCATACACCATTAATTTTCAAAATCTATTCAAAAATTTCAATATTATTAAAATAAACACAAACAATTTTTTACTAATCATTTTTGGCAAATTAAAAAAAAAATAATTACATTGTGAATCGAAGGGCCTCCGTTTTCATCAGTAAAACACCCCAACAACAAAAAAACTGTTGGGGCCCATTGCCGAAAGAAAAAGAAGGCCGCCTTCCACAATCATGCTTTCCGCCACTAGGTGGTAGGTAGTTGCATTGCAGTACATTAAAGCAGATATAGAGAGCTATTGGATATATAGATATATATACGACGAACAAGAAACGAAACGAAAAAAAATTATGGGGTTATGAGTACTCACCTAAACATATGGGCATCTGTGGGACTACGTAATTGACCATCCTCGCTGCCCGACATAATTCCTTATACGATCTCTTTTTGTTTGGCAATACTTCCAAAACAATTTTGTTTGGTTTTGCAAAAAAAATCCAAATGATTTTGCAATTTCCACAAATTTCCAAAAAGGAATGCTCTTGAATGGAGGGTTGCAAGATGCTTCTTCTTCTTCTGTTTCGTTTGGATGTGTCTCGACGTCGTCGTTGTCTCTTTGTCAAAACACCCTTCGTTCACAACCACAAGCCAGGAAATAATTTATCTTCACAACGTCCAAGGGAATTTATCAATTTCCTTTCTTTTAGAATTCCATGATTTTTGCAGTGTGTAATTTTTACAAATAGCGAGATTTTTCCAGTTAATTTTCTTTTTTTGATAGGAATTGTCACTTTTTTCTCGCACACACAAAACGTTTATAGTGAGGCGAACAGGAAAACAGAGCAACGAGTGACAATGTAATGACGCCGTTGTTCTGCCGTAGAGAACGGCGTTCTCATGCACACACACTGAGAGCGTAAGGCGTATGGGCATGTTTACGCAGAGTACTTTTGCGTTGCAGGGAAATTAATTAGCTTTAGCAGAGACGTAGTGTTGGGATGAGAAAATTACTCGTATTGGGGGGTTTTTCTTCAATGAAAATATATTTGGTTTGGTGGAAATTAACAGTTTCCACTTTGGCAATTAAATAATAATGTTATTTGACATATAATCAAGGAGATTGACAGTCAAAATGGCATTGAAAAAATTATTTTTAAATATACACCTTTAAAAAATATTTTATAAAATCTACGCCTTGAAAAAAAATATTTTAAAAAATCTACGACATGAAAAAAATATTTTAAAAAATCTACGACATGAAAAAATTATTTTAAAAAATCTACGCCTTGAAAAAAATATTTTAAAAAATCTACGACATGAAAAAATTATTTAAAAAATCTACGCCTTGAAAGAATTTTTAAAAAAAAATCTAAAATGCACCTCTGAAAAATTAGTTTTAAAAAATTCACTTCTGTAAATAATATAGATTTGGAAAAAAATATTTTTAAAAATCGTTAGCATCGTTAAGATTTTTAATAGGTTGGCCCTGTCCAAAATTAACCCATTTTAATAAATAATTATTGTTAGTTTTCTTTAAGCTTATATATTTGTTAGTAAATATCCAACCTTGAATATTTCTCAAGATATTTTTTACAAAACTTAGTTCATAATAACATCAGACATTTGCTATCCTTTACAATAGAATTAAAAGATACAAAGACACGCTTAAATAGTTTTTAATTTTTTTTATAAAATTTCAATATTTTTTATTAATAGTAATCCAGTCGAAATCGTTCGTATCAAATAACTAAACAAAAAAACAATATACTGTTTTGAACTTAAGCCTATTCTAATAAAAAAATTTATAAAAAATATATAACATCATTTCAGAACCTTCCTTTCCCCCAAATTAACTTGTTGCTATACGGCATCAAAATTACGACAATGCTACTATCTAATATAAAATTTAAAAAATTATAATAAATTGTTCTTTTACTTTTGTGTTTACGTCGACCACATATAGAAATACATTGCCTGCCAGTGGGGTATATAATCTCTCAGTGGACCAGCCATCATTTTGGCAATTGGAATTCTAGCGAGCAAATTAAGAAGACCCTCAAGACGGGATTGTGTAAAACGTTCATAGAATGGTGAACGCATTAAATACATACACAAATTGAGGCAGCGATGTGATAGTATTCGCTGCTGTTCCTTGGACATATGCTGACGATTGTTGTGATACATTTTAATGCTGGTCACATCTACAGCCAATGATACCAATAATTGCTTCCAGGATTTTTCACCAAATACACCCATCGATGCTAGGTGAATCAATGGCTTGGCTATATAGAGATATTCCGCCTGTAACAACCCTTTGGGATGATGTTGTTTTGGCACGCTCATAACTTCTTCTTGCAGCTTAAAGCTACGATATTGTAGCGGTGGAGCACCTTCAACTTTACGCATAATACGCCCCGAACGTTTCAGCTTAATGGTGACACTATGCTCATCCATTGATAGTTGATTTGTTGCTGTTGTTGCAGCAGCAGCATTATTTTTCTTGGATAGTTTTTTTCTATTCAATACCGGCAGGGCCGGTGTGGTAATAATACGTTCTGTGGAATGTTTTAAAATGAAAAATCTTCCAGCTGCCTTCAAACATTGCAAGAAGGCTACCAGTATCCATTTACCCTTATTACCAAATAATTTCTTGGCGGATATTTCAATGAAAACTTCACAGTATTCTAATGTGGTCAACATGACCTTTAGACGATAGCAGATACTGTTTGTGGGTTCGGCAATGCAATCATTGCTGCTTGCAATTTCTGGACGATATTTGGCTATAATGCGATCATTATACATTACAAGTAAATTGGAAAGGGAATATACCAATTCTGTGGCCACGGAGGAATCTGTTATACGACCTATAAACGGGATTAAGTGATTATATTTGGTTGTAATAAAGATAAAAACATGCATTTCACCCACCTGCAACAAAATATGAGGCCCATTTTGCTGTTGTCTCAAAGTCCCCAACAGTATCGGGATTTTTTGAAACCCATGTTTCATAAGATTTTAGTATGTATTTAAGTTTATCCATAGTTAGAATATTTCTTTTTTCTTAATCTAATCAATCGATTAAGGTCGCTAGTATCACAGATTATCGCTTAATTACAACTTCCCGCAGAAGATTTTCATTGACTTTCTACCTTTTTTATTGGCCAAAGGGAAAGCCCATGCCGTTGAAGCGTTCTTAAATCACGGCGTCAAAAACAAAACAAGGAAGGCCAGGCGTTGATGTCACTCACAATGCGACGTATGGCGCAAAGCAAGGGGAGAATTTTGCATTACATTAATGAAAATTAATAATAATTTTAAATTTAATTAACTTAATGTCCAACAATAATAAATAAAGGAAAGTTCTATTTATTATTTGTTTCCTCTCTGAGAGCCAAGGAGTCAAACATTTGCTGTGTTTGAGACTTTGTTATTTAACGCCATCAAAAGCAATAAACAGGCATTACTGTCACTCACAAAACATATGGGATAGAGTGCAGTAATAATTTAGTGTTATTTTAATTATTAAATTTTATTATTTTTTAACAATAACAACAACAAATTAACAATAAAAACATTGTTATTTGTGTATTAACATATTTGTTTCATCTCGTTGCTATTGAAGCTTTGTTTGCCAGCGGAGTCACAAAAAAACCACAAAGGTCAGGCATTAAAGTCACAAAACATATAACGAAAAGCGCGCTAAGATTTTATTTGACATAAATAATAATTTCAATATTTTTGGTTTACAACAACAAATTAATGATAAAAACACTATTTATTTGTGTATTAACATATTTAACTGTCCTCGTTGCGTTGAAGCTTTGTTTTCCAACGGCGTCACGAAAAAAACACAAAGGCCAGGAGTTAAAGTCAAACACAAAACATATGGCGAAAGCGCGCTAAGTATTTAAATTTTAGTTAACATAAATGACAATAATAATTTAAATTTCAATATTTTTAGTTTACAACAACAAATTAACACTAAAAATATTGTTGTTTGTGCAATAACATATTTGCCTCTCCTTTTTGCCGTTGAAGCTTTGTTTGATAACGGCGTCACGAAAAAAACCACAACGGCCAGTCGCCAAAGTCACACACAAAACATATGAGGAAAGCGCGCTAAAGAATTTAGTTTACAAAAAAGAAAAAAAATATTGAAATTCCTAATTTCAATATCTCTAGTTTACAACAACAACAAATTAAGGATAAAAAAGCATTGTTTATTTGTGTATTGGCATATTTGTCCACTCTCCGATCTCTCTCTCACTCAGAGAGTCAAACATTTCCTTTGTTTGCTTGTGCTTGAAAATACAACCCTGCCTGTTTGTTTATGGCGGACAAACAACAACAAAAAGAAGCAGGTGATGAAATTTAGAGAGAATCGCAGACGCAGCAACAACAACATAACGCTAGAAGGATAATAAGGATACCAATAGAGAAAATTACTACATGAATTTCCAAAGGAATTTCCCTGCTGCGTCAGACAAAGAAAAACGACGTACAACAACAACAATACGTACTGTACCATCTGCCTAGAAACCAGCAAAAGACGACGACGACGCTAGATCAGTGATCAGTGAAGCAAAGCAATGGAAAAATATCAAATTACGCAGTATTAGATAAGAATTTGTAAAATAAGGACGCGTTTAGGAAACGACGAGTTTCCAGAAAGAAAAAAAAAACACAATTAGTTGGTTTTGGAACAACCCACAGTTTACTTAAAAGGATAACAAGGAAAAAACAATAAATAATATTAAATAAAAAACAACTATGACTACTCCACAAAATAATACACGAATAGCCTTGGCTGATCGTTTGGAGGCTTTGCGTGTGGCCACTACTCCCACGGCCAGACCCAATGATCCCATCCCAGCCTCAATATTTGCCTCCTCCCTTATGGACAATACAACAAATGTTGCTCTACAGGATTATGAGGGCCATATAGCATCTCCCGACGAATTGGTGATACGCCAGAGAGGACGTCGTCGTCCTCTAATGGATTGGACACCCGAACAGGCCACAAATATACGCAATCCATTCCAGAGAACACCCACAAAAATGCCACTCAGCACCAATATGATCCTTAGAAGTTCGCCAAGAAAACGTTTATCTATGGGTAGTACACCACCAGAACCATTAATGACGAATAACAATAACTCACCACTTAAGCTTAATGCTAAACAACAGCTATGGCCGGGATCGCCAAGTGCTGCCAAGAAACTGCGTTTGGGGGATGAGGAAAGGCCAATGGCCCAAACAAATGAAGAGATACCATTGGCCACAGTGTTACAGGGTTTTTCACAACAACAACTAATCGATATGATTGTGGGCAAGGTGGCGGGAGATGCCAAGGCTGAGGCGGAACTGAGAGCTAAATTACCAATGCCGGATATTGAGTAAGTCCACAAGAAATTTTTTTAAATAGAAAAATTTAAATTTTAAATTAATTTTTTTTTCTAGAAAAATGGAGCAGGATCTCCTACATGCCAAGCGTATGATATTCAAATCTCTACCCACCTCACGTCTATGCAAGAAAACCGATAGCACTGCCTTTACCAGGGCTGCTCTACATTTAAGCGAATTCAAACGCTTGCTGACACATCACACAAAACAGTTGCATGAGTCCGGGCACTGGGATGCCCTACTCGATTATATATTTATGGCATGGCAGTGTGTTAAGGCAACACCCAACTGGGATAATGCCACCCATAATGCTGTACGCAAGCAGTGTTTTAAAGTTCTAACTTGTGGTTGTATGGCGGCGGTTAAATTTGGCGGTTCACGTTTGGGCACCCAACGCCTCCAGACACTGGAGAAAAATCTCAAAGAATGGTCACAGGACTATGAGGATGTAATGTCGTGTGTGAATACCTTAAGTAAAGCCTTCACAAAGGGACGGACGAGTTTATAAAATACAACTCTATTTTAAGGACGAAAAATCAAAATTTTTTTGATCACCTTTTATTTCCTTTTTGTAAATTTTTTCTTTTTAAGCGTTCGCCCCAAAACTACTTTCGTGAATGTATTAGCTTACCTTTTGTCCTTAAATATACTTAGTTTGCTTTTAAGTATTATTTACAAGATAGCATATAAGTATTTTTTACCTGCACAGAGATTCTCATCATGCATGCCATTTATATAAATAAGGATTTTTCATATATATTTTTTTTTCGATAAGGAAACTTCATTGCCATATTTTTTTCAAATGTTAAACAATTTTTTTTTTATATTTTTTTGTTTTTTATGTGAATTAGTTTTTCGGTTTATTTTTTTATTTTTTACTTATTTTATGTACCCAAAATTTTCAAGCAAACCTTTCATTTCCAGCATAAAAAAACTACCCTAACCCAAAGTCATTATTTTTTAATTTCTCTATGTATATTTTTCCATTTGTGATGTATTGTCCTTTGGTTATTTTTTTACGTTCTTGTGCATAAGAAGTTTGTAAGTTGTACAAATATATAATTGTCTCTCTAAATAAATTTAATCAAAATTTTTTATACCAAATTTGAATTTTTTTAATTAAATTTCTTTCAAAGATTCACGCCTATTGGCCTTATAGTCCTTGAGGTAATTTCCTTTAAAAAATCCACGCCTATTGGCCTTATAGTCCTTGAGGAAATTTCCTTTAAAAAATCCACGCCTATTGGCCTTATAGTCCTTGAGGAAATTTCCTTTAAAAAATCCACGCCTATTGGCCTTATAGTCCTTGAGGAAATTTCCTTTAAAAAATCCACGCCTATTGGCCTTATAGTCCTTGAGGAAATTTCCTTTAAAAAATCCACGCCTATTGGCCTTATAGTCCTTGAGGAAATTTGGCCTTATTTTTCCTTTTAAAAATCCACGCCTATTGGCCTTATAGTCCTTGAGGAAATTTCCTTTAAAAAATCCACGCCTATTGGCCTTATAGTCCTTGAGGAAATTTCCTTTAAAAAATCCACGCCTATTGGCCTTATAGTCCTTGAGGAAATTTCCTTTTAAAAATCCACGCCTATTGGCCTTATAGTCCTTGAGAAAATTTCCTTTTAAAAATCCACGCCTATTGGCCTTATAGTCCTTGAGGAAATTTCCTTTAAAAATCCACGCCTATTGGCCTTATAGTTTCCCTACCATAAATAATTAAAATTCGTCCAATTTTAGGTATAGCTCCCATGTAAGGGTTCCTCAAAATTTCGGGATTTTAAGGATTCTGGTCACATTTTCCAAGCGAATTGGCTGAAATTTGATATTTTTGGTTCTCTTCGACTAGAAAATCTCCCCACCAAAAATCATCAAAATTGGGCCTCTTTTATGTATGATCCCCATATAACATAACCTCCAATTTGTGGGTATTTTAAGGTTTGTGGTCACATTTTCGAAGTGAATCGGCTGCAATTTAATATTTTGGGTTCTCAATAGGTAACAAATCTCCCTACCAAAAATAATCGAAATTGGTCTAATTTTATGTAGGGTTCCTCAAAATTTCGCGATTTTAAGGATTTTAAAAACATTTTCCAAGCAAATTGGCTTTTATTTAATATTTTGAGTTCTCAATGGGTGAGAAAGCTCCCTACCAAAAATAATCAAAATTGTATCACTTTTAGGTATAGTCCCCATATAAGGGTTGGTCAAAATTTCGGGATTTTAAGGATTCTGGTCACATTTTCCAACCGAATTGCCTGTAATTTACTATTATTGGTCTTTATTAGGTTGATAATCTTCCAACTCAAAATTAACAAAATTGATTAACTTTTGGCTATAGCCCCCATATAACATAACCTCCAATTTGTGGAGATTTTAAGGATTTTGGTCACATTTTCCAATCGAATTGGCTGAAAATTTACATTTAGGGTTCTCAATGGGTAGTAACTCTTCTTAGCAAAAAATCAACAAAATCGGATCACTTTTAGGTATATCCCCCATATAACATAATTTTCCAACCGAATTGGCTGAAATTTGATATTTAGGGTTCTTAATGGGTAGTAAATCTCCTCAGCAAAAATTATCAAAATCGGATCACTTTTACATATAGGCCCCCTATACATAACCTCTAATTTGTGGGCAAAATTAAACAAATTAATTTTATTAATTTATATTTTATTTTTATATGGACACATTTGAGGAATTATTATTATAACATTATATGCAATTTGGTTTACTATATTATATACATACACGTAAATTACAATAACAAAAATTTATAAAAACTATATCGAATGAAGGTAATAAAATTATGGCTGAATATTCAAACATCATTTTGAAGGATTTGCAACTGATTTGTGATATTTATATTTTTTTTTCAATTCCCATAAATTTCCAATTTGGATTTTTTTAAGTTATTTTACAATCATAAAACAAAAGTGCGGGAACTCAGCCCATATACCAATTGGGCCAGGGTTTATTAATTACCCCCATATATATTGTATGTTTTAAAATAACTTATTAACTATACAACAAACAAAAAACATTGCAATAAACAATACACTCAAATACATATTACATACATACATATACATATATATTCTCTCATGACTAGTATATATCATATACAAACATTTTCATTTCGGCTATAATTAATTTTTTATTTTATTCAATATTTTTTATATTTAACAACTAAATAAATACTTTGATAGTGTGGCTTATTTGTTTGATTGGTTGCTTGTTTGTTTGTGTGTGTTTTAGGGGAGAGAGAGAGGGAATTTTAACCCTTTCTCTTATGGCCAATTGATCATCAGCTGCTCCTTTCAAAAATACAATTGCCTAATTAACAGATATAGACAGGTGATTAAAAGTATCTGCTGATGGTAATTGGAAATAATGGTTGATGAACTACGATATAGGCTGGTGGCTGAGGAGATGTGGCGCCCTGGAAGAAGAAGAAAAATTTAAAAATTATTAATAATTGTTATAAATTTTTTTTATAATAAAATAAAAAAAAAAATTATTAAATTCATAAAAAAATGGAATATGTTTTTCAACCGATTTGATTGATATTTAGTATCTTGATTTCTCAGCGGGTAAAAAATCCCACATCCAAATATAATCAATATGGGTTCACTTTTAGGTATAGCTCCCCATATAAGGGTAACCTTAAATATTCGTTATTTTAAGGATTTTGGACATGTATTGGGTTCTCATTGAGTAGCAAATCTCCCCAACAAATAATAATCAAAATTGGACAATATTTAGGTATAGCCACCATATAACATAACCTCCAATTTGTGGTTATTTTGAGGATTTTGGTCACATTTTCCAAGCGAATTGGCTGCAATTTAATATTTTGTGTTCTCAATGGGTAGTAAATCTCCCTACCAAAAATAAACAAAACTGGCCCACTTTTAGGTATAGCTCCCATGTAAGGGTTCCCTCAAAATTTCAGTATTTTGAGGATTTTGGGCACATTTTCCAACCAAATTGGTCGTACTTTAAAATTTCGAAATATCCACTTTTAGGTATAGCTCCCATGTAAGGTTTCCTCAAAATTGCGGGATTTTAAGGATTTTGACCCTATTTGCTAACCGAATTGGCTATAATTTTATATTTGAAGTTCTCAATGAGTAGAAAATCTCCCTACCGAAAATAATCAAAATATGTCCTATTTTAGGTATAGTCACCATATAACATAACCTCAAATTAGTGGGTATTTTAAGGATTTTGGTCACATTTTCCAACCGAATTAGCTGAAATTTGATATTTGGGGTATTGATTAGGTTTATAATCTCCCTACCAAAAATTAACAAAATTGGATCACTTTTAGGTATAGCCCCCTTGTAACATAACCTCCAATTTTGATGATTTTGGTCGCATTTTCCGAGCGAATTGGCTGAAATTTGACATTTTTGATTCTCTTCGGCTACAAAATCTCTCTACCAAAAATTATCAAAATTGGTCACCTTTCTGGTCAGGGACGTACGCAGGGGGGCGGCCCGGGGGCCTAATTAATTTGATATAGGGTAGAAAATATTCCCAGCAAAAATAATCAGAATTAGACAACCTTTAGGCATAGCCCCCATATAATATAACCTCCAATTTTTGGATATTTTAAGAATTTTGGTCACATTTTCCAAGCAAATCTCCCTTGCCAAAAAAATTGTTCCACTTTTATTTTTTTGAGGACCTTTTTATAAAAAAATCCAAAGAAAAAGTACTTTTTCTTGAAATAAAATACCCTTCCCCTAGGGTCTTTTTGGGTTATCTGCTCTTTCCTTAGAGTAAAGTCACCATTCTTTTGGTAAAAATCTATACTCTTTTACCAAAAGTTTAATTTATTTCTATTAGAAAATATCATTTTCCATTAAAAATATAATTTTCTATTAAAAAACATAATTTTCCATTAGAACGGAATTTTTCTTTAAGGAACGTCCTCTCTTGTTGAGAAAAAGCATATATGCTTTTCTTATTGCCTATTGTGAATGATCAACAAGGTACAGCACGCATATAAAGGTACTCTTGTGATTTTTTTTCATACAGAAATTGAACATTTTAAGAAATAACAAAAATAAAGTGAATTTCTATTAGAAAATAAAATGTAAATAATTTTCAAATAGAATTAAAATTCACTATTGTTTATTTATCGATTTGAAATTTATTATTTATTTACATAGCAATAAATAGTTCTATGATTTTTGTTTGCTCCATTTAACACCAGCTCTCTAATTAAGTTAATAAATAAATAACAAAACAATAACAACAACAATAGCAAAAAAGTACTTTAAAGCCATAAAAATTCGTATTATTTTGCAGATGATAATTTAAAGCATGTGCTTCAACACCAAAGTTAAAAAATGTGAAAAAAAAACTGAACAATAAATTGCAAATCAAATTTTGATGGGCATATTGTTTTGTAAATTATTTATTTGTTTTTTTAAAGCTAATTTTGAATACCGTAATATTTTTTTAACACATTTCAATACCTTCATCTTTTCGGAAGTT